GCACCAAACAACTCCCACCTCCATATAGACTAATGAGATCCCTAATTACTAGTTTTCCCCTCATTTCTCTTAAAGATACGATTTCACCCATTTCCCCTCATTTTCGCTGTAGGGTTTCACAGATTTCCCCTCATTTCGCGGTTGGGTTTCAAAGTTGATTTCGCGGCGGTTCTAGGTTAAGAAACTATTTCACCCCTTTCTTCACTTCGCTGTTAGGGTTTCGAAAGGGGTGAAATAGTTTCTTAACCTAGAACCACCGCGAAATCAATTTTGAAACCCAATCGCGAAATGAGGGGAAATTTGTGAAACCCTAAAGCGAAAATGAGGTGAAATGGGTGAAGTCGTATCTTAAGAGAAATTAGGGGAAAACTAGTAATGGGAAATGGGTGAAATGAGGGGAAAACTAGTAATTATGGATCTTATTAGTCTGTGTGGAGGTGGGAGTTGTTTGGTGCTTATGTGGTGTCCATGTGGCAGTTAACATATTTCTGTTAATTAGAAGGGTATTTATGACCCAATAGTTTGACGGAAGGGTAATTTTGAGCCAGAATATAGTTTAAGGGTAAATGTGAGCTATTTCCGATAGTTCAAGTGTAGTTTTGAGCCTTTTCCGTATTTAAAATTATGGCTTTGAACTAAAATACACCATCGATCTTGAAACATGATTGAAATACACCCTAAATTCTCACAAAGTTTAGATGTGTTTTCAATACTTCTCTCGATTTTTTATTAAGAGTCTCACGGTCCTACAAGAGTTTGTAACCATTTGCTATACATACTATGTGGCAAATCGGAGTGTAGTTATGTTCAATTAGTCAAATAGAAGAATGTTTTTAAGATTGTCGATAGTTCGAGAATGAAACTAATAATTCACGTCAAGTTCATATTTTCGATTTCTCTCATTTATAAATTTGAAAGAATATTTTAAACTTACCCCAAATATTTGAAGTACACCTCATTTTTTCCATTGGAACTCTCCTTCCCCTTCTCTGTTCTTCTTGTTACAGAAACAGCTGATTGTAAATCCCAACAAAGACTCCATTTTTACTGTTGAATGAGAATCACCATTGAAACACAACATCACATTCTCAAATAATCTTTCTGATGAGCTTTTCAACGAAGTAATTGACGATCCCATTGAGCTAAAAATGGAATCTTCCAGAGAAAATCTTGTCAAAACTCTTTTAAGGAACCCATCTTCCATCAAAACAAAGTCACAAGCTAAGCAACTCCATGCCCAAATAGTGAAAACAAGAGGGTCAAGGTCTGTTTCACTTGCCACCATCATTCTTGGCATTTACTCTGACCTTAACCTTCTTAAAGAGTCTTTAGAAGTTTTTAACAACTTTCGTTATGTACCCACTAAAGCTTGGAAATCTGTTGTCAGGTGTTACTCTTGTCATGGTTATTTTCGTGATTCTTTAGCTTGTTTTGTTGAAATGAGGGGTTGGGGAAAGTTGCCAGGTAGTGATGTTTTCCCTTCTGTTGTAAGAGCATGTACCCATTTGAAGGAATTGAGGGTTGGTGAGTCTGTTCATGGTTGTGTTATCAGGTTTGGTATGGAATCTGATCTTTATACTGGGAATGCACTCATGAATATGTATGCAAAATTGCAGGTTTCATCGCATGACTATCATGTGTTTGATGAAATTCCCCAGTCTGATCGCGTTTATAGTCGTAGAAGTAGTTTGGCTCAAGATTCTGATATTGGAATTCTGAGAAATGAGTTGATAAGGAGTGAAAAAAGTCATTTTGAGCCTTTAAGTGGAAGGAGAGTGAAAAATGCTAAAGGATTAGATAGTGTGAGTAAGATTTTTCAAATGATGCCAGATAAAGATGTTGTGTCGTGGAATACTGTGATTGGTGGAAATGTACAAAGTGGGTTGTATGAAGAAGCTCTGGAAAGGTTAAGGGAGATGAGCAATGCCTATTTGAAGCCTGACTGTTTTACTTTGTCAAGTGTCCTTCCTGTCTTTGCGAGGCATGTAGATGTCTTAAAGGGAAAAGAGATTCATGGTTATGCAATTAGACACGGGTTTGACAAAGATGAGTTTATTGGGAGTAGTTTAATTGATATGTACGCAACTTGTACCAGGGTTGAGGATTCTTATAGGGTGTTTAATTTATTATCAGAAAAGGATGACGTTTCATGGAACTCAATAATAGCAGGATGTGTGCAAAATGGTACTTTTGATGAAGGGCTGGGACTGTTTAGGCAGATGTTAGCAGCTAATGTCAAGCCTGTGGAAGTTTCTTTCTCAGCTATACTGCCTGCCTGTGCTCATTTGACAACACTACATCTGGGGAAACAGCTCCATGCATACATAATAAGAGTGGGGTTTGCTCAAAACATGTATATAGCTAGCTCACTTGTGGACATGTATGCCAAATGTGGGAAGATAATGACTGCTAGATGGATTTTTGATAAGATGGAGATACACGATTCAGTTTCATGGACGGCCATAATCATGGGGTATGCATTGAATGGTCATGCCCGCGAGGCCACTATTCTTTTTGAAAATATGCAACATGATAAGATAAAGCCCAATGCTGTGGCTTATCTAGCTATTTTAACTGCTTGCAGCCATGCTGGTTTGGTTGATGAAGGTTGGAATTATTTTACAAGTATGAGCAGATATGGTGTTTCTCCTGACCTCGAGCACTATACTTCTATTGCAGATCTTCTTGGTCGTGCTGGAAGATTAATGGAAGCTTATAAATTTATCAATGACATGCCTATAAAGCCCACCGGGAGTATTTGGGCTACGCTGCTATCAGCTTGCCGAGTTCACAAAAATGTTGAACTGGCTGAAAAAGTTGCCAAAGAAATGACTACAGCTGATCCTGGGAACATGGGACCTTATCTGCTCTTGTCAAATATGTATTCAGCAGCTGGGAGATGGAACGATGCATCAAAATTAAGAACTAATATGAAGAAGAAAGGAATGAGAAAACCACCAGCTTGCAGCTGGATAGAAGTTAGGAACCAGGTGCATGCTTTTGTCTCGGGAGACATATCTCACCCATGTTATGATCAGATACATGTAGCACTAAGAGATCTTTATGAACGCTTGAAACAAGAAGGTTACGTTCCTCAGATTAGTGAGGCACTACATGATGTTGATGAGGAGCAAAAGAGTGATTTGCTGTATACTCATAGTGAACGGCTTGCGATAGCTTTCGGCATTATTAGTACACCTGCTGGGACAACCATTCGCATAATTAAGAATCTCCGTGTATGCATAGACTGTCACACAGCCATAAAGTTCATATCCAAAATTCTGGGGAGAGATATAATTGTTAGAGATAATAGTCGATTTCACCTTTTCAAAGATGGGAATTGTTCATGTGGAGACTACTGGTGATGGTAACTATGGATTTGTATCCATAATGTAGCATAAAGGGCTTTATTATAAGCAATAAAAGGGGAAAATACATATGGGAAGGTTTCTAGGAAATGACAGATTATATAGGTGTTCAGACGGTCTCTAGTATTTCACATTTTATGAGAAAATCTAGAGATCGTTCCTCAGTGCTTTGATATGAAAGTTACGCGGTCTTCCGAACGCTGTTCAACTGTATGGTATTGGAGGCATGGATATCATCAATCCATTAAGCTAGCAAACTGGATAAATGTCCTGATGTGAACTTTCAATTTCTCTTGGTGTTACAAAAGGTTAGAGACCTTGAAGCTGTAATATTCTTGAGCTTATGGCTGTTGTGCCTTCGTTGGTGATGGAATTTTGGAATTCCGCAAGGTCATATACAAGTGAGGAGGATTCTTGGAACTTGACTTATAACTTTAAATTTTTTCCTGTAAATTATAATTTTTTCTGGGACTTTAGAATATTTTGTGCAACCTGAAAAAGAGAAGTTGTGGTGTCAAATGTAGTGCTATCTTTGTCATTTAGAAGCTACCTTTGTGGATATGATTATGTATTGTTAGACACTTCTGCAGGGTAAGATATGGAACTTCTGAATGGTCAGAAGGTGGTTTTTCTTTCTTTTCAGGACCGCTTCATTACATTCGTTGCACTTCCTTGTTGCTGAAAAGTTTAGGAGCTCTCACCAATTCTAGCAAAGATTCATTCCTCTTCTAAATTGCTTGCTAGATATCTGGTCAAGCTGCAAGAACTGTAAGTCTTTTACGCAGATGATAACATGCGGCACCATGCTACAATCTGAACATGCAAAGTACTTGTCACATCTTGATAGTGCAAATAAATATCATGATGCTTTAAGGAGGCTGTAGAACTAAAGCTTGAATCAAGCATCATGATATTTATTTCTTCTCATATGTTCTAGCCTTGGGGCCAGAGTTACCTGACACTTGTTGCTGGTGGGAGGTGATAGGTATTCCATTGAATTAGTCGAGGTGCGCGCAAGTTGGCTCGGACACTACGTTTATAAAAAGAAAATGACAAGATGATTACTTGATCTACATAATTCTTCTTCAAGAAAAAAAAAAAGAAGGAAAAAAAAGTTCTTGATATCTTCTTAGTGGAGAACATTTCAATTTTAACCTCTCAACCAGCTTTGACAAATTCATGTTATCTGGGTAAGACACTACAAAAAGTAAACTCATTAAAAATTGATGAGTTGACTATGGTATATTAAAATAATATAAGCATGATGCACTTGTTCAATAAAACCAAGTTTAATTTTGTGATATTTTATTTCAAATTGATCCAAAAAAAACATATTGATATTGTGCAATTATGAAACATTCAAAATTATATACTAAGAGAGGAATTTTGGTGTGCTTAGACTCTCTTCATTGGAGAATTCAAGCTATACATGAAAATCACAGCAATTTCCCTGTCTAACTGAAGTAGTTTCTCATGAATTCAGGCCATCTGTGTTGATTGTTCCTTACTCTTGCTCATCCTTTCGTAAGGCCATGGCCCTGGAACACAGAGAATTGTGAGGTGAAATTAACTTTGTTATTTGCTGACTAGGCTTGAGATTTTCCAACTCTCATTCTCGTTTGGTGTTGTTATCATTTATTCAATCTTTGACCATGGATCATGTGGTTGGTGGCACGTATAAATTGGGTCGGAAGGTCGGTAAAGGATATTTTGCGGAACTTTATTTGGGTAATCTCCAGGTGTATTTCTGATTGTTGTTAATTTCAATTGTAGCTCAACTTTTCTGTTATGGGGTTTGAGTTGACCTTGAGTTTTGTTTTTTTGTATCAGGGATAAATGTGCAAACTGAAGAAGAAGTTGCTGTGAAGCTGGTGAGTATGTTGATTAGCTGAAGCTGGAAGTTCACCACATTAACATGGTGTCAATTGTGTTAGAGATTTAGCCTTTCACTGGAATTGAATAAAATTAAAAAAGTTAGTTTTGCGGAAGCTGAAAATTCACTCCATAATTTGCTGTCAATTGTCTTAAGATTGAGCCATTCACTAAGTAAACTTAACAACCTAATAAAGTTGAGAAGAATGACTCTTTCACTGGAAGATGAGAGGATTATTCTTGAATCATAAGTTTTCATAATATAAAACTTAAAATATGATAGATGAACATTGCAATTTTGGCTGAATGTTCGAGTAACATTGTTTATTTGGCCCTTTTCTCGGTTCTAGTTTGTTAGTGTGCATTTGCTGGATATAGCTTCTATTTCTGACGAGTCTTGATTTTGCTTAATTATTCAAGATCAGCATATTTGTTTGGTAGGGGATCCTATTGTGATATATTTATGGACTTCATATGTGGTTTGCTTCTCACCAGCTGTCCAGAGTGTGTTTCTAGTGCTACGTTTAGTATTATGGTTTCTTCTTTGGTACATTAGCTTTGCTGTTTCCAGAATCTAATTTTTTGGTTTGCAGGAATCAACTAAAACAGAACACCCTCAGCTTCATTATGAATCAAAGCTGTATAGGCTTCTACAAGGAGGAAGTAAGTGATAGCTTCTACCCATGAATTTCGATGACTGTTATATTTTCTTGCTGAACTGATTTTTTAAATATTTTTTTTATCATTTTCTTATTTCAAGCTGGAATTCCAAATGTCCGGTGGTTTGGCGTTGAAGGTGAATACAATGCCATGGTTATTGACCTTCTTGGGCCAAGTTTGGAAGACTTGTTTAACTATTGCAATAGGAGGTTCACTTTAAAGACAGCTTTAATGCTGGCAGATCAATTGGTAAATAGCCAAAATTATATACTGATTAAAGCATAATTATTGCAGCTGGTTGCCTGATACTTATTCTCTGATGCAGATTAATAGGATTGAATATATGCACTCAAGAGGATTTCTTCACCGTGACATTAAGCCCGAAACCTTCTTAATGGGTACAGGGCGTAAAGCAAATCAGGTGTGCACTTCATTATATGTTCTCTAAGTGTACATGTATGTCTATGGTTGACAACAAAGTTATATGCTCCGATTATTTTTCCTAGATATTCTGGAAAGTTCTCCACTTACTTGTTTGGGAACTAAATCACCGAGGAATTAGACAAGTTGGTTATCTATTAGGGTTTTGGGTTACAGTGCTCCTCCAGCATTTGTGGAGCTGGACATATTGTAGCCTGCTTGTTGAGCTCGAACAAAGAACTTTAATTTGGGATGGAAGGGTTACATTCTTTTTTTGGATATTCCCTTATGTCACTCAAGAACTCGTACTTCTTATCTTTCTCTCTCGTGTACACCTCTGCCATTCTCTTCTCTTAGGGCTCAATGAAGTTGATCCCTGTGATGTGAACCTTTACATTCTTGTCCAAGTAAGCTCTAGCTAACTAGCCAGGTGTGCATTTCTTTCAGTTTCCCGGAACAATGCTCAAAATCCTGTGCATTGTGCAGTTGCATATTCTTGGAAACATTTTTTTAGAACTGGTACTATTAAAAAAATTGTAAAAATTAAAATTCTTGGACACATTTAATATGTTGAAAGATTCGCCTCTTTCTTTAGTTTATGTTTTCCAGCATAATGCTTATGTTTGAGCTTGGGATGCCAACAAACAACAACAACATACCCAGTAATTGCCAACAAAATTCTGGTAATTAGGCACGTGCAAGCTATGTTGCTCGGACTCTCCGAAAATGGTGCCGCACCCGTGTTGGATCCTTCAAAATGCACTACTTTTGAAGGATCTGATATGCACCCGTCGACATTCTTGAAAAGTCCGAGCGACATAGCTTGCAAGTGGAAGAAATATTTCCTACCTGGAAGGAGGATAAAGTTCCTCCAATCTTTAATTTATAAACAAACTGACCTAGCCAGAGAACCTGTCATCCTATCTTGTATGATGCTACTAAACATGAGCATTTTGTAATTACTTGATCAGCAGCTTCCTGTCTCGGTAGTACCTTTGTTAATCTACACTAGAACGAGTTTATGAATCTGATGAAAAATAATTCCAATGACATGACCTATGCATCTCTAAGTCAGTTTTGGGTGTTCTATTTTGTTAAAACAGGTATACATAATTGACTATGCTCTTGCCAAGAAATACAGAGATCATGAGACATATGAGCATATACCATTCAGGTATCAACCTCTTCTGTTCCTTAAAGATCTCATATGTCTTCCATTTCTAGAAATTAAAAAGGAATATTACTTGCTTAGGTGATTTAATAATTGGTCAATTCACTACAATGTGTTAGTAACGACGATTGCTTGAGAAGCTGAAGGTTGAATCTTTTTCCAATTGTTTCTTTGGCAGCTTCATTTTTTGACCTTTTGGAGTAATGAGGATTTAAACTTTTGCTCGAACCTAGTTATGTCCTTCCCTGATTTTTAATATTTGTTTCAAAGATCTCTTTTGCATAAGCTGAACCAAAGAAATTAAAGCTGCCCTTATTGATACGGAAAACCGTCTTGTTTGATTAGATTTGTGTAGATTTTGAATGCACATGGTGTACTATGTTATTGAGAAATAAAAAGGCGGATGAAAAGGTACTCCATTCCTGCTAAGATGCTTCTCTTATTTTGTTCTTTTCCTTTCTGACTCTTCTATATACACTTCCAAGCTTCTCAATAGTTGATATTGAAATCAAGAAACAAATTTGGAGGTTCTGCATTCTTTTTAAGCTTTTCTTTCCTTGACCTTATTTTTAGTAGAGTTTAGAGTGGATGGTTGGAGTGTAATATGGATTGTTGAACGACTTACTTTGCTTCCTTTGACAGGGAAAACAAAAGGCCCACAGGAACAGCTCGTTATTCTAGTGTTAGCACCCATCTTGGAGTTGGTAAGTGAGGATGATATTACCTGAAGCACCTAAGAGTATTTTAAACTTTACATAATTACTTCTCTTCCTTGTATGCAGAACAAAGCAGAAGAGACGATCTGGAGTGTCTTGGTTATGTGCTTATGTATTTTTTGAGAGGAAGGTTTGGAAATTACAGATAATGTTTATATTTGGTGCCTGTATGGTTATTTCCATGTGCATTACTTGTTTCTTACAATTAGCATATTTAATTGTCTTTTCTAGTCTGCCATGGCAAGGTCTGAAAGCTGACGGCAAAAAGCAGAAATATGCCAAGATTACTGAAAAGAAGATGCTTACACCTATAGAGGTAGTGTCTTTATGTACATTTCAACAACAACAACATACCTAGTTAAATCCCACTAAGTGGGGTCTGGGGAGGGTAGACTGTATGCAGACCTTACCACTACCTCGTGGAGGTAGAGAGAATGTTTCCGCTAGACCCTCAGCTCAAGTACAACAAACCCAAGTAAAAGAAGAAGAAAAACAATGAAGAGAGCATAACAATTAATAAGAAAGTAGTATAAAATCTACCCTTCGGAGTGACCCAGTGGTTTGGGCTTGGGACTTCCAAGTTGGAGGTCTCAAGTTCGAAATCCCTTGTCAGCGAAAGCAAGGGGTTGTCTTTTGGGTCGAGTTGCACCGGGCTTGCCTAGTGCGGGTTAGCTCTCTTGTGTGGTTTGCGAGCTATTGCATAGGAGCGGGGGTTTTACCCTGTGCACACCCAAAGGGTAGCGGCTGCAGGTTTCCCTTGTCATAAAAAAAAAAAAGTAGTGTAAAGTCTACAAGAAAGAAACAATAACAACAACAAAATAGTGTGATAATCGAAACATTGTAAACAACATATGGCAAGAACTACATGGTACGACTAGTACTAAGACATGCACTAACAAGCTTAAGCGACCTCCACGGCTTCTTATCTAGAGTCATGTCCTTGGTAATATGAAGTTGCATCATATCCTGTCTAATCACCTCCCCCCAATACTTTTTCAGCCTACCTCTACCCCTCCGCCTACCCCCTACAATCAGCCTCTCGCACCTCCTCACTGGGGTGTCAGTGCACCTCCTCGCTGGGTCTTGCAAATATATCTGTCCTAAATTATACCATCTCTCATCAAACTGCATAACGACCTATTCCGCTGGTCTCTGTTAAACAGGTGCTTTGCGAATCCTATCCCTCAGAATTCATATCATATTTTTATTATTGCCGATCATTACAGTTTGAGGACAAGCCAGATTACTCATACCTGAAGAGGCTATTCCGTCACCTTTTCATTAGTGAGGGTATGTTTTTTGTTTCATGATCTGTTTCCTCCTTTATATTATCTCTTTGGCACAACAAGTTATATTTCTATAGTCTTATACAACAAAAATATTTTTGTATGCATTGCAGGTTTTCAATTTGACTATTTGTTTGATTGGACTATCTTGAAGTATCCCCAAGTCTGTATTTAATCTGCTCTTGCTAAAAATTATCTACTGCTTGATTTTTGCACTGTAAAAGATGCCCTAATCTTACATTTTATTTGTTTTTCAGCAAATTGCAAGATCGCCAGAAAAGATCCCTGGTATTGTTTCAAGAAACTTTGACTTCAGAAGTAGCAGTTTAAATTTCTAATATTATCATGATGTTAGCACAATAGCACTTTAGTGGACGTTTCGATATAAAAATTGTGATTTTTATTTCTTTTAAAATAGTATTTGTTTTTAAGTGGACTCAAGTGTGTTTGGACATGAATACATATTGGAGTTGATTTTGAACTTTTGTGACTGATTTAGAGGGAGGGGGGATGTGAATTCTATGTCCAAATAGCTTTTTCGGAACAAAATTCCTGGAAAAAGTGAAAATGTCCATGTTGAACAAGAAACGCGTTATAGCAGGCTAAAATTTATTGATGGTGATTTCTTTTTTATACTGTCAGGATGTATAAATTATCTTCGATATGTTTGTTGATGGTTTTTTTGTGTTCCTTTTTTAGATCAGAAGAAGGAGAAGAAGAAAGTGAAATTTGCAGAAGATATGGTGGAGCCAAGTGGGAACAGTGAAGAATATAGAAAGCTTCATCGTTCTAATAGGGTCAAGAATGCTCTTAAACGATATGAAATTGAACAAAAATGTCCTTAGTTAATAGTTTGTTCTAAAACGTCACTATCGTCAATAGTTTGATCCAAAAATATCTGTCTAAAAGAATTGGCATTAAGGAGACATATCCTATTTCACATCAAGAATAGGACCAAAAAAAGCATGGGACCAAAAAAAGACAACATAATAAAACAGTAGTAGTAGAAGTTAGCTTTATACATATTGTGTGTCTGAATTGACAACGTGTTTTTGAGGTCATTTGCCACTATTTGTTGTCTGTCTCTTGGCATGTGAAAGTAACATTGCAAATGCACAAATAGACAAAATATGCCTGTGATTTTGGTTATGGTGATCTTTTTTGCAGACCATGATTGTTTTATTTAAGTATTATCTTACAATATGATCTTATTGTCTGTCAGAGCATGCCTATTGAGACAAAAAAGGATGTTCTGATTAATATGCACTTCTGCTGTCACCACTTAATATAAAATTTATATAATATAGTTTTACTTCTTATCTTCCCTTTTTTTAGTGTATGTATTGGTGAACTTTCACGTTTTGGGATTTCACTCAAAATGTTATTGAATTTGTGAACTTCTTTTGGTTAGATCGAAAGAAATGTGTCTCGAGATTGATAATCTTTTAGAAACTATGTGGATTTAGCAAAGATAATAGAACAAACTGGAGCAAGCTCCATAAGTGGCATTTACATGTTAATAGTCTCCCCCCCCCCTCTTTAGTCCCCAAACCCCACACTACCCCACCCCCATATGCTATCCTTATAAATGTTCTTTGAATGATATTTTTGCTTACTTAACAAACATAAAATATAAACGTTTTTATATATATAATACACAACTTAGATATCATAATCTTTTAAATTTTCTACCATTTGAAAAAAATACAGAATTCCCTCTCGGATACATCCCTATTCCTTTTCGGATATATCCCTCCGATTAAGTAATGTATCGGACAACCAAGGAATACATTCGAGAGCAATGAAAAATTCAGAATTTTGTAATTCAGGAAACTTTCGAGATAAGATATAATTAACTCCCAAATATAACGAATTTCTATACAAAAGTATTTTTGGTGACAATTTCTTTTTTCATTATCAAACACACACTTGAGGTTTAATCATTGTTACTGGACTTCCATAAGGAGTCCTACATTTTATAGGACTAAAATATTGTTGATATCTTGTTAGTGGTGAGCATTACAATTTTGACCTCTCATTTAGCTTTGACAAATCATTATATTGTTGAATTGGATATGGTAATATTATTAAATTATAAAATAATATAAACATGACGCATTTGTTCAATCAAATCAAGTTGAATTTTGTAATATTTTATTTAAAATTGACCACAAAAAATAACATATTGATATCGTGCAATAATAAAAAAATAATAAAAAATTATGGTCTAAGAGAGGATTTTTGGCGTGCTAAGACTCCTTCGTGAGAGAATCCAAGTTAAACATGAAAAAATTACAATAGTTGCTCAATGATTAAAGTAATTTTTTTTTATCAACGCGTAATAAAGTGCTTTAAATCATTTGTACCAAGGATTACTTATTCTTGCTTTTTTTTCATAAGGTCGTGGCCACAAAACGTAGATACTTTTGAAGCAAAATTAACTTTGTTATTTGTTGACTAGGCATGAGATTCATTCTAACTTTCATTTCTACCTTCAAAGTTTTTGTTGATCCTCTATGGAATCCATCCTTCGTATTGAGGAAGAGCGGACATTCTCTAAAATATCATATTATTATATAGATATAAGTAATATTAGTAACAATATATCAAGAAACTATTCACATATAACATATTTATAAATCCTATAAATCCTAATCCTATTCTATTAAATTTTGTTTATAGTTCAAGACCCCACAATCTTTTTTTAGATATTGAATGAAAAAATAATATCAACACGTTTCTCCATATTTTGGATTGGTTTGTACTCATTTGTCCATAAAAAAGTGCCATACATTTTTTTAAAAAAATAATTCCTTTCGCACAAACTATTATTTTTATTTATAGAATAATGTTTTTATCCACGGTCGACCAAAGATAGAAATATCGACCGAGTCGGAGGTGTTAAACATTATTGGATTAAAGAAAAGGTCAATCAAAATATAAGATAGTAAAACTTAAATTGATATGAATAGGAGATGCCTCTTTCGAAAACCCTCACAAAAATGATAAAACATTATAATTTATCATCAAAGTCCGTGTTTTTAGACGAGTCAACATTAGGATTATATTGGTTTTTGGAACGATCATGAAAGTTTCTGATAATTAAATTATTCGAGAGCGTTGAAAAACTTTTAAAAGTTAATACGACCAAAAAAAAAAAGGATCACCCAACAAATCTAATAATAAAATTTATGATAATAGCATCTCACATGTTGCATGTGTTTTTATTTTGTTGTCTCATCCAATGTTTGTTATTCACATTGAAGTCCGGCGAAACTTAAATTTGTGTTGGAAAGTCTCATATGAAAATAAACGCTCCCTAATAATTGTAACTTTGTATCTAGTAGAACTCAAATTTGAAATCTTTGATTAAAAATGAAGAAATATTTATCAAAATACCGCAGTTTTTGTTGGTCATGTTACCATTCTGGTAACTTATTGAATTTGAGTGCAATGTGAACAATTTTTTTTTTTTATATATATATATATATATATATAAGAGAACCTTAGGCCCGCCTACGTGGCTCCACCATAAATCGGGATTCCTTTTTTAATTTATATATTTACAAAACTTGCCTTCTCCTTTCATGAAAACTTGTGACTTTAATGAAAAGTTGCGACTTTAATATAATGAAAAGTTGTGACTTATATGAAAAGTTGTGACTTTTAAGAAAAATTGTAACTTCTATGAAGAGTTGCGACTTTTATGAAAAGATGTGTCTTTTATGAAATGTTATGACATTTTCGAAAGGTTGTAACTTTTCCAAAGAGTTATGACCTTTTCGATAAAGCACAATAAACATTTGTTTACACTACCCTTTGTTGTCTAGCTACAAATAGAGGGATTTCCTCTTATTTTAAAACAACAAAAAATATGAACTTCTTCTTCTTCTATACAATTAAATATTCATGTACAATTTTTCCTTTCTGTTTCATCCTATTGTTACAGAACTTGGTATGTTTTTTTACAGTTCATTAATTTATGCTTATGTTATTAATTGTTGTTTTTTGAGTACATGTTTTAAACTTTGTTGTTTATGTTTCTGCAAATTATTGTTTAAGTATTTGTTAGTACAAATTAAACAACACACGTTAATTGAGTATTCACACAAGTTTTCTCTACTGAAATTGTTGAAGGTACAGTAAAAAATTCCTTAAAGATCTATACTATTATCTCTTGAAGACAAAAATTTCAAAATTTGGTATGACCATTGTAAGGACAGAAAGACCTTAAAAACTTTATCGCACCTTGATGTGCGAAGTAAACCAGGAAAAGAAGACAATAATTAATAAACTTTTGACATGGGTTCAAGGATGTGCTGGATGACCTATAGAGAAATATGACTAGATTGGAGCCTCTTTTAATCCCAAAGACATAGATAACTACACAATAAATTAATTCCTCATATTCAATATGAAGTATGGACAGATTTTCAAGTTTACTGCAAGTTGTAAAAACTTTCTTGAAGTAATAGATGTGTTTCTCGACATTGTGATTGGAATAGAGGTGTAGTTTCAAATTGAACTTCATCACTCTGGTATGTTGATTTTTAAAAAACACCCCAACAAACTGAATAATTTGTATAATCTTTTTCCTTTTCAAGTAAATATAATAAGTTGAATTGTTGTCCAATATGATACATTCTCCCTTTAATTTTTCATTTTAATAATTACTTATGATACATTTAAATGAGAAACTTTAAAATGATATATGTAAAGCAAAAGGTAGAGCTGAACTTTCTACACGTTAGAATTAGAATATTTGTTCATTTTTTCATCCTTTTAAAATTTATTTATCCCTTCACCAACAATTTTTTTATTTATAAGAAAATTTAATATCTCCGGTATGATTGATGTTCATTTGAATCCCCAAAAATATCAAGTAATAACACTTCCTGGACAAAAAGATAAATTATAAAATCAAATTAAAGATGATTGATTGAAGGATAAATGATAAGATATTATAATTATCATCTTCCTTTACATTATTAATGTTTGTTATATGTAATCTTGTATGTAAGATAATATAGTATTTTAGTTTTAATGACTCATAGGTTTTAAGTATTATTTTATAAATTCAATGATATTAAATTATCGCGGATGATTTTACTAGTGATATATAATTTGAAAACTATCAAAAGATGTCAAATATCCTGTCGGAAATTATTTTGCAACACGCTTTTCTTTTTTATTTTAAACACGTTAGCAAGATTGAAAAACATTTGACAAATTTCATAGTTTCTATCTATAGAAATTTAAAATTCTAATATTACCATGGTACTTCTAAAAAATATTTACATAAATTTGAAAAAGTCAAAACTTCATTTTATTTTAGTTAATAAAAATGAAACACTACCTATTCCCAAGAAAAAAAATACAATTCAATACCTTCTAATAAAAAAATTAAATAATACGAACTCTATGCTTATTATCTAAAAAAATAGTAGCAGACAAGTTTGAAATTCAAAAACATCATAATACCACCTATTTATGTTAATCATAGCTAATACATAAAAAAGAATATTATTAATCCTCTTAATTAGAAATAAAAAAATCATTATAATCACAAATATGTTCTTCTTCATTCTCTTTTTTTTTTCAAAAATTATTCTCCCACCATCTAACATTTTTCTTTTAGAAAAAAAGAATTTATCCCACCCCACCAAAAAAAAAAAATACTAAAAAAGAAAATAATATGATAATAATAATTATAAGAGAAAAGAAAAAAAAAGAAAAAGAAAAAGCTTAATTTTCTCAGCTTTTTCTTTTCTTTGTATGTATAATCCCATTTCCCCCTAATTTCTCCTTTTTCATCATCTTCTTCTTCTTCTTCTTCTCTTACACAGGAAAAATTCCCATAAATTTTCCGCAGATTTCGTTTCTGTTAGATTCTCTCTTCTCCCCCC